AGGCCTGAGACTAAGTCATAGTCGTTGGAACATCATATCCATCTAATAAGCAGTCAATTGGTTATACTAGTATAGGGGTTGTGGAGATTATTAAGTTTTTGATTGAGATCATGAACCGATTGATGTTAGACCACCACAATTGAAAACCTGGAAGCACTGGACGGCCGTTTCGTCCTATCGTGGGACTCCTCAGCAGTGCGCATCCACGAACCCGCGAGCGGGGTTCGAACCCAGGGCCTTCGGTCTCGCGCGCGAACGCTTAACCAACTGGACCACTGAGCCGGCATCCAGTGGTGATAGTTTCTAACATCAACCAATCCACGAAATTGCGCGACCAACTTCCGTTGTACTGAGGTAGATACCTGTCTCTACCCGACAAGGATTAGCTCCACTGGTCACGGAGATTTTTAGAAATTTTCACAGATTGAAATCATGAGTCAGTTGAAGCTAGACCACCATTGAAAACCTGGAAGCACTGGACGGCCGTTTCGTCCTAGTATGGGACTCCTCAGCAGTGCGCATCCACGATCCCGTCCCACAATAGGACGAAACGGCCGTCCAGTGCTTCCAGGTTTCAATTGTGGTGGTCTAACATCAATCGGTTCATGATCTCAATCAAAAATGGTTATACTCATCGTGGGCAATGAAGATAGTAGGGCACCAAAAATTAAGGGTTGATGGAAGCAGAGCCATATGTAGAATGTTCAACTTGAGTACTTAGTAAGTAGTCTGAATGTCAGGATTTCGTGAGCCACTAGTCGGTACAGTTAGAGTTAGAGAAGACTGTGCCAACACTATTTTTCAGCTGCGCTTTCCTCTTACTGTTTAATAGTATACTACTTACAAACGATAAGTAGTTTGAATCATCCTGAATTATTTCTTCAGACTGTAAACGGTGCAGAGCGATACTTAGTTTTAACGAGTCGCTTACCTAATTCGGATATACCTCTATTATACCGTTCATTTCTCCTCGTTTATATTCACTATGTTCCACTTTTCAGAATTTTGTCTACTGAGCATCTCGACTATTTTTAGATTGTCAAATCCAATGTATTTTCACTAGTTTGTGACATCGTCTCTTGACATCAGTATGCAAACAAATATTCAGCCTTCAACATACGCACTATAACAAATTCAATTATGGATAGCAATTACGTTTTCTCCTATTTTACTGAAAACCTAAGAATTTTGAAAAAAAGTCTTGAAAGCCGTTTTGGAGAAAACTAATATACTTGTTTGCTAAAGTTTAATCCACACAAGTGGCTAAAAAAAGTTCACTAATTGATCTGTTAATAACTGATTCCATCCTTCGAAGGTACATAGTTAGGCATTTATTATTTCTAAGATATCATGTCATATTTTGTTGGTTGGAAAAATGTAGCTACGTTTCGAAGTCATAAAATATTGTTCTAGCCTCGAGGACCAGAATATCTAGCACACGATTTAAGTGGGATTAAAAAACAACACAGACAATTATTGTTGTATTACGAGAAACAAAGTATTTGAAGACATTATTTAATTTCATTGTCACATTAAGCACCAAAACCAAAAAAAAACCTAAAAAAGAAGTATCGTTCTATTGCACAATGGTGTAAAGGTAAAATCCCTAGTTATGTTGTTCACTTATCGATTTTTATCGAATTCAATCGATCTAACTAATCTATCTTCTTTGAGATTGGTTAATGCAGGAGAATGGGTTTCATTGTAATTATATATACATATATACGTCGATTAGGAATACCAGTAAGCAAGAGATACATGTCAAACGAGGATTCATTACAACATTGAACACTTTAACATGTTTAAGTTACCTCTGATCACCACTGACATTCAATATGAAGTCAAACAATGATCTTATGGAATGAATACCAAGCTGCTTTTAGGGTGTAATAAGATTATAAATATAAAGAGGCTTCATTGAATTAAGATTAGAACAATGAAATAACATACAATTCAACAGGATTCAATTATAATGAATTGACCATACTTGTTTTTTTAAACATATGTTTTAAATAATTTTATAACTAATGATGATGACCTTAGTTACATGTGTTTTGCTAAAAATCGACTCCTATTTGAACTAGTTACCTTGGTTACTCTCTAGACTTTGTCATAATTTTCATATTTACCATAGTCCCATAGGTGAGTAGTTAATTAGAAAAAATGAGCGTATTTACCATTAAATATTCTTTCCATTTTGATGGAGATTTTGTTCCCTGAGTTGGATAAGTTTGGTCGTGGAACTTTCATCGTTCTTCTGAACAACATCATCAGCACAAACTTCAGATAGAAGTGAAGTGTTTCGAATCTCTCCACATGTGGTTCACAGCTTGTCCTGTAGACCTTGATGCTCATCAAAATCATCCGCCTGAGCTACAAATCTTCTCCACTATATTTTTTCCAATATCATTTAATTTAATGTTAAACGTTATCGGTTTATAGACTCATTTAGTCATGTTCATCAAGAAACAAAATGCTACTATCCAGTCATAGTCTGAGAATTTAAGAAAATATCTATGAATAAAAATTAATCAATGTTCGCTGAATTTTGATAATGAAGATCATATCATCAGTAATGTATCAAGATTTCTTTTCATAGTCATCAACATTATCATTGTAGGTTGTAAATCAACAATATTGTTGTCATTTTATGAATAGAATGTTTAATAATATTTGTATATCACAACTATTTATAACCTTGCTGATTGGTTTACAATTTTCCTCAATTGAATGTGATAAATTTCGGAGAAAAAAAACAGTTGAGCACATTGAGATCAATGAGCAACAGTGTTACTGAGTTAAAGTTTTACTTATCTTATAGAACACTAATCATGCATAGTAATCGATATTAAGGTGGAATTCACATAATATATAAGGCATATTTCCTAGAGCCTGTAATAACTATTTCAGAACAAGCTAAAATGATGCTTTAATTACGGTTATATTTGGCATGTGATTAGTAGTAGGATCTAGGACGCGGATTTACATCTTACTTAGAACAAGTCAGGCTGGAATTATATATGCAGCCTAATGTTTGCTGATACACAAACATACCGCTAATGTACATACATAAACTTGTAACATAACAATTTATTGAGGCAATCCACTCAGGATGCACATATAGCAGTTCAGAATACAAACTCTTAATAACAGTGTTTTAGATTTTCTAAGTGATTTTATGAGATTTACGAAAAATTCCATAAATAATATATCTATCTACGCAGCTAAGTGTTAGTCAAAAGTGAGATCAATCGTTACAGCTCTTGACTTCGAGATTCAATAATATGCCATGTTTTACTCCGTGAATTCAGCCTTTCCTTTTTGAGATGCATTCCTTTTCAGCATAATTTTCTTTCCAATTCCTTTGCTATCCTCTGTGTTCTGCTCATCTAATAAATTAGATGGTGGATATGTTTAAGTTATATGACAATAATGACTAAGTGATTTGAACTATGCTAACCTGATACTGTTAAGAGTAAAACTATGGTAACCCAATGTTCTATCGAGTGAACTATGTTAAAAGATAGATTTTGAACTAGTAAAGATATTCTTCCATGTTCTTTCGCTTTTTTTGGAAGCAAAAAATAGTGCAAACATGATGATAAGCTACTTAACAAGCCATATTAGTTGTCATTTTAATGACCTTTCAGTTAAATAGATAACTACTGGAAATAACTCGCTGTGGTAGAGAACAAACCAGCTACCATCTAAGCAGGAAATTAGGAAAAAACCTTAGGAAGAATAGGGCATAAATTGGAGAAATAATCAAACTATATGACAAAACATGGAATCCCGAGGGAAAATGGAAAAGAGGAAGACCCAAGAACACATTTCACTGGGAATTGGAGGCAGACAGAAAAATAAAGAATATCACTTGGGAACAACTGGAAAGAAATGCCCAGGACAAAGTTGATTGGAGAATCTTAGTTGTCGACCTGTTTCACGAGTAGTAAAAAGTGTAATTAAGTAAGTTAAGAGAAATGACATTTTCTATTTCATCAGCTAATTTTGATAAATACTTATTGCACAAAATACTTAATGAACACTTATATTCATTAATGAAATGTATACAATGATTGTTAATTATGCTGTCTGAAATACTTTAGGCTACCAGACTGATTTATAGACACAAGAGTGAAGGCAGAAATTAAACAAAAGTACAATTATTGTTTGTTCTGTAAATTATTGATCTCATCACTAAACTTCAGATTTGAACCCAACTCCGACTACTTGAATTCCACTAGTCAGTTAGTATCACAAGCTGACACACATAAAACCTGTAGAGTAAAACTGGATGTAAATAAATCTATACTTGGTTAGGGAGTTAGTTTAGAGTAGAATCAAAAATGAGCATTTTTATTGAAGTCCGGTTTAATGGTCTGGAGGTTAAGGTATAGCGTGCAAGACTGAATGTCCTGGGTTCGATACCTCGTCGCAAGGTTATGGGTGAGCACTACTAAAAAGTCCCACAATAGGATGAAACGTCCGTCCACTGCTTTCAGCTTATCAATGGTTGCCTAACTTAAGTTGATTCGTAATCCAAATAATATTTTCGTTTAACTAGTGGAGCATTGTATAAACTACTTTGAAGATGTCTTACATTTGAACATAGTTTTCGTTCAACTTTATTATTATTATTCAGTACTGTAAAAGTATTTAAGACAATATCTTATTCTAACTTTACCTTCACATCAAATCGCAATTTGACTCGTTCAAACATTGTATTCTTCATTATCTCACCAGTTAATAGTGAATAACAAATTTGAAATAATGAAAAACCCATTGTATAACATAGAGTCTAATTAAAACATACAATTTAATACAATTTTCAATATAACAATTATATCCATTAAAGTTCAATAGGATGGAATAAAACTCACTATAACAAAGAAAGTACTATTAACCAACAGAAAAAATTCTTTTTAAAAAACATTAGGAAGTTGAACTTCACATAATGAGCATTACTTCTTCACTGAATAGTTTCAAATATCAGACTACATTCACATTTTACAAGCATCATCACATTCTTGTGATAAAACAGTAGCAAATTCTGGTACATCTTTAGGATTAATTTTTAAAACATCAATAATTTGCTTATAATCAGGATGATTTACAACTTCTTTCTGTTCAAAATGATAGAGAACTTTACCACCTTGTTATAATAGAAGAGAAAATAAAGTAAACGTATACTATATACTTTATATAGATTAAATGATAATTATTTTACAGAAACATATAATTCAAAAAACATTGTTGTAAGCCTGATTTATGATAGAGTTGAACATGTAGCATACACGTTCGCATGGAGATAATTATTATTCACCAATAACCAAACAGATATTTGTTGATTAACATTTCCAAAGGTTATTTAGTTCATGAAAACAAAACAGTTGTCCTACTTCATAACGGTATGTATTGAAATTCCTGAGCTAAACTGTAAACTTATCGACGCCGAATCAATTGATAGGAAAGTGTATAGAATATGCTAGATCGTAGTCTATCTACTAAACACATTAAATTCTCGATATAGTAGTATTGCATATGGTCAAACCACTATATTGTGTCTAACCAAAAAATCAATAATTCATTGATTGGATTGTATAAAGAAATACAAGCTACTTATTAAGTGTCATTTAGATGTTGGGAATTAAAAGGTAAAGATGTTAAATAAGATAAATGAGGAATGTGATCACAATTTCAGTGAATTCAGGAATATCATATTTATATGGTATATATCTCTGTTTATTTATCCCCTTTCATTTAGAGTGTGTCCTATTTATATAAACAGATAAACAACATACAAATAACTCAATTTTAGGATTGTTAAATAAGTAAATCACATGGATCAAACAGTTGAATCAGTAATTACTCTAATTTTTTTAAGGTCATATTTGTACCATATGACAAAAACCACAATATATAAGTGTAACTAGGGTTAAGATAGTCACAAGCACTATATGATTAACAAATGTATAGATTGACCATAGGCAATAAATAGTTAAATAAATCCTTTTAATACACACATAATATATGAAATATTTTCTTTTCTATGATAAGACAACAGTTCCCAATTTCTATGAGTATATAGCACAAATAAATCCATATGGCCTGTGGCAATGAGACAATTTCTTATTCTTTCTATACGATGTTAATTTTCTGGCTCCTTTATTACTTGATTTACTTGAATCTTCATTTAATTGACATTTGTTAATTTTCATGAGCATTTACATTTATTGTTCAATTATATATTTATCAGTATGAGGTTGTTAAGCTTTTTGATGAGATCATGAATCGATTGAAAACTCGAAAGCACTGAATGGTTGTTTTATCCTACTATGGGATGACTCAGCAGTGTGCATCCACGATCCCACATGCCGGATTCGAACTCAGGACTTCCGGTCTCGTGCGCGAACCCTCAACCTCTAGGCCACTGATCCGGCGTCCGACGGTGTTAATGTCTAACTTCAATCAATCCACGAATTCGCGCGACCATCTTCCAATGTCTAATTTAAAAGTGTAGGGATTTTGGTTGATCATTTCAAAATTCCCAATATTTCAATATAATTGTGTTCGTTATGTAGTTAGAAGTGGTCAACAGGAAACCTTGGATATAAGGTTCCAGCAATTTGGTGCTCGTTAACAATGTACACCTAGAATCCTGAAGGGACTGATGCTCTTTTTGAAATAAGGACTTGTGTTATCCAGTTTTACAGTTTGAGGCGATACTACTGAGCTATTCGGGCAGCGGAATAACCTACTGTGGGAATAAACTATGGGTTTTTACTTGAAACGTGACATTAGAAATAGAGTGAATGTACTGCTCACAATCTATCCAGAGAACACCAATAACAACAACGCACATAGAAAAATAGAAATAAACATGATTAAATCACAATTACAAACCTTTTTCAACCACAAGAAGTCCACCAGTTTGCCAACCATCTCCAGTCATATTACCAGGTATATTAGCAGCCTAATAAAAATAATATAAAAGATAACGATCATTATTATATTTAGTATTATCAATGACTGTAGGGTTTATTAGTAGCTAAAAACAAGGCTTAATATTAATTTCTTCATATTTTTAATTAAACGTATATTCGGTAAAGGGTTTCGTGGACATTGTAGAGTCTGCACAGTTTACATCCATGCACTGACCTTACCTAGACCACCATTAAAAATGAGGAAGCATTTGACAGCTGTTTCATTCTGGTGAAAGACACCTCAGTGAAGATGTTAAGCGTTTGCATCGGAGGTCGGAAGCCGTGGAGTCCATTCCCTGGGGCAGGGTCATGGATACACTGTTGAGGAGCCCCGCACAAAAACCGTCCAGTGCATCCTGGTCTTAAGTAGCAGTATAGCTAAGATCGGTTCTTGACTAAAACTACGAACGCATATTCAATCCTCCTTTATGAAGAACTGAAAATAATACTATTTATGTCAATTGATCAGGCACAAATATGCATTGATTTAAGCTGCCTCATAGGTTTGACTATTATCCAACAGGATATCACTGAAAAAAGGTAGTCATAATTTTAACTGTTTATAAAATTTACTACGATTCTGTCATTGGATTGTAGGAACTCTTCAATTAAACACATTTAAGAAAATTGTTTGGGTTCTTACATATTCAACATCACTAGTGAATGTTAGAAACTTCGACGATCCATTCAGCATAAATTACTCATTTACATGCTAACACTTGTTAAATTTCGTGAATGAGCATAGTCCGTCCACCAGCACTCTCCATCCAACACTGTCCCAAGAAATACTTTCCAGCTGCTATTCATCCTTTTCTTGTCTGCTTCTAATTCTCGGCACAGTATGTTCAATGGTCTACCTCTTTTCCTTTTCCCTTCAGGATTCCAAGTTAGCGCTTGCCTCACGATGCAGTTTGACGATTTCCACAATATGTGTCCTATCCACCTCCAAAGTCTTTTCCTGATTTCCTCTCCAGTTAGAAGCTGGTTTTTTCTCTGTCTCAGTGCGTTATTACTGATGGCTTCTGGTCAACGGACACTGAGTATCTTGCGTAGATAATTGTTTATAAATACTTGTACTAATTTGATCATGGTTGTGGTAGTTCTCCACGTTTTAGCTCCCTACAGTAGAACTAGCTCAACTCTCCTATTGAGCATTCTGATTTCCATTTTTGATGACAGTTGCTTTGAGTTCCATATGTTCTTCAAATGTAGGAATGTGGCCTTTGCTTTGCTAATCCTCGCCTTTACGTTGGCATCGGATCCTTTTTGTTCATCGATGATGCTGTCGAGGTACTTAAGTATAATAACTGGTGATCGCGAATAGTTAAAAAGATACTATGACGAGAAACCTGGTGATGGCCATGGTTCAAAAAGAAGACAGTCAATAACACATAGTAGAATGTGACAAGAAAACATGGTATAAAACTCGAGAAGAAGCGATGAACGTTCACGATTGAAAAGTTAGGCTGGATGAATCTGAACTATTGTGATCATTTTCTGAAGGATATTATCTCAAGTCCTCCAAGGTATCCATTTCCCTAAATGTACCACGCAAGACGTTTAGCTCTTCTTCAACTATATCTGTAGAACATATAGTACATATTCGATAAGTAAGAGTTTTGATTAGGTTTCTTCTTTACAGTAAAGGCACAAGGCTAAGGAAATATGTATATTACCCTGTCCAGGTAGTTTTCCTATTTAAATGCCTTATTGACCCATCAATTCTTTTTGTTAATAGAACGTCCAAAAAGGCTATTCTAGTGAAGTTAGGATAAATTCAGAGGCTGAATAATTTTTTTTAAATACAAAGATTAGATTTTATATGTGTTCCAACAGTTTCTGTTGTATGCAAGAGCCCGGTTTTGAACATTGAGTTTCTGGTAGACTTGATTTGATTAGTCGACAGACATTAATATACGCAAAAGGTAAATTACTAACGGAATTGATTGTTCTCGATGATATGATGAAGTAAGAATCAGGTCTCATATTCGGTCATTAATTCCAGTGAACATTGAATGACTGGTGGGTGTAGGCATAACACTAAGTACGATGGCAGAACAAGCACCATTAGAATGAATCCCCGTTAACAGTCGCCTATGTGCTGTTCGGCGAAATGGCTCCGTAAGAACTCGGAAAGATAGGGACACACGTCGTCGTCTTTACGTCGTTTCTTCCTACGCTCCCGCTGACTGCAGCTCGGATGAAATGAAAGATGACTTACAAAAAGCTCTCTGAACTTCTTCAGAAAGTTAAACACTCATACATAGTACTCGTATCAGGTGAACTTAATTTCCAAGTAGGTAGCTTAAACCAAACAGAAAGACATTTAGGCTTGTATTTTAGTATTCTAGCTCAGCGAACAGATAATGGTGAGCGTCTGCTACAACAGTGCTCAAATAATCGTGTATTTTTAACAAGCACTGGTTTTAGGCATAAGAAGAGACATCGTCTAACGTAGTGACCCCCTGCACCAAACCAATGATGGACTCAAATAGGCCATATTACTACCAGTCATCGTTGGAGAGGCTCGATAGAAGACTGTCGATCATTCTGAAGTACATGGTTAGACTCTGATTATGCTCTAATATGAGCACGCATTTGCTTGCACCTCTCTGGACGCAGAAAATCCACATTTAAAAACCCATTAGAGTTGAATTGTGTCAAGAAAGTCAAAAGTAAATTCCAGGAACAACTGACGTCACACTTAGACGGTTCTAAAAACGAGGCCGGCCCAGATGTTGCTTGGAAAGATATACAAACAGCTGTGGAAAGAGCAGCGACATCCATTAGTGATCTAAACCAAAGGGTTACGAATGACAAATCGATTTTTACTAGGTCTCTTGTACTGATAGATTCTCGTAAACTCATTCCATCAGGCTCTGAACACGGCGAAGAGTGAAAACAAATCAGATCTAAGTTAACCAAAAGTCTAAGGAACAACTGTGAGCAATGGTGGGCGACGAAAGCAAAAGAGATGGAAAAGGCAGCGGCTGTAGTACATAAACCTTGTGAAGGCTCTTTACTCGAACACTACCAGTCGAGTCAGAGCTTACGGCAAACTTTCATCTGCTTTTGCAACTTCAAGTGGTGTCAGTCAAGGCTGTCCACTTTCTCCATTTTTGTTTAGCTTCAACATAGACCTACTGATGGAAATAACGTTCTCGTCGACTGAATTTTCGGGCATTGATCTCCTACCAGGAGGTACACTTATCGACTTAGAATACACAGATGATATAGTCCTGTTTGGTGAAGACTGATAAAATGCAGAGTGTTTTGATAACACTGAGCAACTATCCCAGGGTGTCTGAAATGCGTTTCTCCCCATCTAAATGCAAGTCAACACCTAAGCTAAGGATAGGGAGTGAAGTAGTCAAACGCGTTGACAACTTCACTTATCTTGGAAGTCTGATCAGCCCTAATGGGTTGGTGTCTGACGAAATCTCAGCACAGATTCGAAAGGTTCGTTTGGCTTTTGCAAACTTACGTCACCAGTGGCGAAGGCGAGACATTCATCTATCAATTAATGGACGAGTATACTGCGCGGCAGTCCGTTCTGTTTTACTTTACGGCAGCGAAACATGGCCTCTAAGAGTAGAAGACACTCGTAAGCTACCACAGATGTCTTAGAAATATTGCTGGCGTCTGCTGGGATCACCGGGTAAGTAATAGTGAGGTTAGACGCAGGGTATTAGGAAATGATGGTAAATCAGTTGATGAGGTTGTAAATCTTCACCGACTGAGATGGTTGGGCCACGTGTTGCGTATGCCTAAACACCGATTACCACGACGCGCAATGCTGACTAGTGTGGGGAATAGTTGGAAGGAAGTTAGGGGCGGCCAAACCAAAACGTGGCATCAGTCCTTGAAGTCACTAACTTCATGTCTGAGCCATGCAGTTAAGTGCAGACTACTTGGTTGGGGTCCACGTCACTACTGTAACCAATGGTTGAATACTCTGGGTGAAATGGCTCAGAATCGATCACGATGGCGTTGGTGTATACACTCTATGTCTTCCCTTAAACCGTGAGATTAAAATTGCTTAATTTCTACCAACTAATTCTTTCTTCCTGTGTTACATCCTTATACACAATCTTTCTTTTGTATATTACCACCTATGAATTAACTACTTCTATGGATTTGGTGTTGATCTTGTTGTGCTAATGAGATGTGGCAACTTGGATCGATGCATATATGTGCCTGATCGTACGTTGTAGCTGACTGACTGATATCTTTCTTACATAACTTCTGTTTTGTCCATCGGTGGGTTATTGTTGAATTGTTGTGTATTGGTCAACGGGTTTATCTCGTTCGCATAGGGTAACTTTACTTATTAAAAGGATCTCTCAATCGTTCTCATTCAGTAATACGGAATCGACTTTTAGTTCACAACAATAATACAAGATATTATCTTGTATAATAAAGATTAAGTATACAAAGTAACCTTGTATACACTCCCATTATTTATCACTTTTTTAGTTTAAATTTACACAGGTTAAACTTCAAACTAATCTTAACAATTTCGATAATGTAATAAGACAAAGATTATTCTTATTACATTATCAAAATTTATCAAAGGGACTAATCGCTTTAATCTCAACAAGTAGTTTTCTAGAAATATTTACTTTCATATTTTACGATCTTGCCAACTATACGGGTGTCTAGGAGAGACAGACGATAATATCATACAGTTAAAACATATAGTGACAGTATTACATTTACATATGAAGTCAAATTAGGAGTTCTTTGTAGGCGTTAAGATTGTTAAAATTATAATACAAACACAAAATGGACATTTTGTGTTGAATTCAAAAGTCGATCTAGTCTGGACCGCCGCTGAAAACCTGGAAGCTCTGGACGGCTGTTCCATCCTAGAACGGGACGATTCAGCAGTGCGCATCCACGATCCCGCACGTATGACTCGAACCCAGGACTTTCGGTCTCGCGCGCGAACACTTATCCTCTAGACCAGTGAACCGGCATACAACGATGTTAATATCATAGATTGACTCGTGAATTCAACTGTGGAAATACTACAATCTCCACAAATTACCATACTGATAATAATTATTGATTAGTCAGAATGGAAAGAACTAGAGATTTTTCTGGTAGAATTCTAAGCAAACGTTAGAATCATGTGACATAACCTTAAATTGATTATAACGATACCATTGGTTTGAATTCATATCTCAGTCGATTTATTCTTATTCTCTATGTTATTGCATTTAGGCAAATAAAAGGAAAAGTGTACTTTTAAATTTTCTGACGATTTAATGACTTTTTTATTAAAGAAAACGCATATTACCTTTGCCTTTGAATTTAAAGAACGGCCAGCTTTCGTCAGTAAAGAACAGAAACCAGAACAGGCGGAGACCTTTTTATATTCTAAAGCTTTATATGTCTTACGTTCAGGATCTAAATAAAGATCTACAATGATATTAAATAATGGTTTTAATTTAAAGTCAAGTAATGAAGAACGTTGGATGATTAATACTTTTCCTAAGATTAAAATGAGTATAATAATAATAATAATAATAATAATAATAAGCTGAATACATCTGTTAACAATAAGCCATTCACTTTATATGACTGTTTAAAGACACTAATTGGGAAACTGGACATGTTTCTTACAGCATTTTCAGTAGGGATTGCAAGTTTTGATAGCGAGTATGTATCTAAACCTTTTCCAATGGGAATCGATTAATATTAAGTCATATGGTTAGTATGTAATAAGAAACACAGCAAGCCAACGGAGAAAATGATAATAATTTTTTAGGAAATAATCTGCGACACATTGGTTGAGCACTAAACGTCTCGAAACTTTGAAGTAATTAATACAGATACAGACAAATTACATTAGCTCGACTTAAAAAAATATTAAAGAAAATACGATCATTGACCTTCAATATTATCATTATCAAATAAACGTAATTCAAGACATTCAAAGGTATTGAAAAACCAAATTGTCAGACGCACTATTACTAGAAAAAAACCTCGGATTTTAACTTGTTAAAAGTAGATGGTACGAAACAGTGGACGTACGTCTCGTCCTAGTTGGGACTCATCAGCAAAAAGTACCTGAAATTTTGAGGAAACTTACCCTTCTATGTGATTTGGACTTTTCAGATCATGAAGCTGAGTGACTCAGGTTCGAACCCCACAAAAGTATCAATTTTATTTATTATTTATTATCATAAGCTTTATTCAATATTATATTTTTGGTACAATATAGAATTCTCAGCACAAAGTATTTCAACAAGTTTCCGTTTCTTTCTTCTTGGTCGATCCTGACGATAAATATTGAGTGATAGCCAGTTAGATGTTAGCAGTCCAGTAAATAAATATCTGAATAATGTATATTCTTTTCTCTGCATATTGCCAGCGACCACATTATCTCTTATTGAGCTTTTTGTAACTTTGACAACGAAAGGTTGTAAACTTTTCAGAAATGCACTAGGATGGGTTATGCGATTAATATACATAATGATATATTAAAACAAACAAAAATAGATAACTTGTTGAAATATTTAGATGACAGGAACAGGTAGCCCAGATGTTCAAGCAGGCCGCCCATATTCCTATAGGACTGCAAATAAGTATCGCTGACAAGTGCCAACCAGCATGAAACTTACCTCAAGCAGAGTTTCCTGTCAGCTACCTCAAAAAACCTAATATCAACAAATAGTGCTCATGATGTTAATCACTTGGAGTAGTGCCTAAATTTCAACTAGATCGATGATAATCGACAAGCAATAGGGACTAAAGAAATATGACACCGGTCACAACTCAATGATCAATCAATGTAACTATTCTTCCCTCTTGGTTGAATGAACACCTCGATATGATGATGAACAGTAAATTATTACTGAAAACATAGGCTGATCTGCTACTGTATGTAATGAATTCCATAATTTCGTCACTAATTAATTTCAGAAATGAATATCAAAAGATTATTATATCACAAATGTATGTCTATATAGTTATTTACCTCCATCAAAATAATGTCCATCTACAAATTCTTTTACACCACCTTCATCGAATGTAATTCCCATTAATTTAATATTGCGTGCATCCAAAGCAGGTTTTAAATGACTCAAATTTTTAGCTTCTAGTCGGCAAAATTTGCATCCCAAACGACGAAAGAACTGTAATAATACATGTTTGATCCTTGATGTACGATAAATAAAAAGAATGACTTAACAAAAAAACACAGATGGTGAAGCATACTTGTTACAAAAAAAATTGAGCAATAGCATAACAGATTACACACTCGAATGTTGAACAATTCATTACAGATTCGAAGCTAGCTTTTGGCAACTATCTAGTATAACCAGATCTCATTTAAAAGTGTAGATAGAAGCAGAGTATATGTACCTGGGATTGGTTCAAGATTTGCAGAACACTATCTACAAATAATGACCTAAACGTTCAATGATTAAAGGATAATTGGTAAGAATTAGATTTGGGGTTTTCGCTCATTAGCAAACCAAAAATAGGCAGACAGGTGTAACCAACGTATTAAACAAGAGGAAAGTCAAATGAGTGGACATAACAATGTAAAACTAAGTAGGAAAAAGGAGGATCGACATAAATGAAACTGGGAAATCAAAATATGGTATGATACTGTTATAACTTGTGGCCTGAGTGCCCTTCTAATGTATACGTAATGATACCGCCTATTAGAGAGCAGTGAATTATCGATCGGAGCAGTGACGCATGAAACACGCACGAGCAGTCTAGAGTCCTGATTGGTTCTGCTTTCTGCCTAGCCCAGCCAGTTGAGTTCAGAATACCAATCTCAGCCTCTGCAATATGAAGCATTTATTTCAAACATACGGGTTTATATACCAATCAAACAGACCACATCGTACCAACAAAGTATGAAACATTCGTACAAGTATTAGCCAGATGTGGTTGTGAATGAGGGAGGTAGTAATTAATAGACAGGGCATAATTCAAGAATGGTAGATCGTATAATAATAGTTCATAGGTCAAAATAAAGCTCATAATAAGAGGGACATGAATGTGAACAGTTTAGTTATTTAACAAGTACACGATAAAAATATACGCATATTATTGGTCCATAAATGGATCCCAAAAGCTACTATTCACAATGCTTGTCGGGACCTAACAAATACTATGTTCAAGAGTCAAACAAAAATCACACATTCGAGCCACTCCAACCGATATTGATACATACTATCTGAAGTCTTTGATCATCATAAGAGCACAATTAAGGGCCAAACAAGGTTTATGCTTGAACGGACTCCTCGTACAAATTTGTATCATAATTATCTAATATTAACTAACTCAATAGTGACCAAATAGTTCAGCAACGACAGAAACTACAACAAGATCAGGAAGAACAGTACATTGGCCAGTTATACGGTAACCCCATATTTATCTAGACCGAATTCTGAGATTATCCATATAACACAAAAATTCTCTTTTTCTATTATGATCATTATTGGCCCTATGGATTTTCATCATGCTTACATCTTAACTTTATATATATATATATATATATATATATATATATATATATATATATATATATATATATATATATATATATATATATATATATATCCGCGTTCTTGTAGATTTTATTAATAACTAACAATACACTATCCCAACAACTGATGTTCTGGCTTTTGAATATTTTCCGGTTAAATCACAGTATCAACTAGGAAAACTGACCTGCTAAAATATTCACTGAACGTGACATCGTCTATTGGAGTTAAATAGAGGAGAATTAGCCTCTACAACCATTCTATGTTAAGATCAGTCCCATTACAACATCCAGCCAACAAATTCGATTGTGACAAGTTCAAAAGCAATAAATTCCTAATCAGATGAGAGACGAAGTAGTGCCAAATGAGCTGTGGGATTAGTAAGATGCTAAGGATATGGTTTGGGAAATACAAAGTTAATCTCAGAAAAATCAAATTAAATATCATTAGGACGACTTCAAGAAGGTACTTCTTAGGACTGGCTATCATATTCTTAGGTTACCAGGACTTTAAAGAATAATCCCGTTTCCCGTGTCAGCTACATTTATTATAGGCTTTAACTTGCTCACTTCAATTTATTCAACATATCCAATTAGTAATAACAATCTTAGCTTTAAAAATGTTGTCCTGATCTCCTAGAACTGGAATTCGAAATGTTAAAAAGCCCAATGCTTAGATTCACCAAAGAGGCAGAATCGTAAAATAAGTCATCGCAGGAAAATACACAACAAAAATCCACTGAACAATGAAAAAGTTTAACTAGCTTCTACATACTCTTCAGTTGCTTTTCAGCATGCTGAAATGAGTGACTGAGACTGGAGATGGGTTACGAAGCAGAGCTGATAAACCAGTGGACGTGACTGTGCACTTTTGTCAACTAAGGTGGTCGCAACTGTAAAATATAAAGCCAGTTGGTGATGAAGTAGTTGGCCATTGGCCGATCTGTTGAAGAGTAGAGTCAAAATACTATAAATCACGTCTCCAGAGGTGGAAGCGTTCGAAAAACTAAGAAGTACTCAAAGTCCAAAAACTCTGCTTGTTCGTCTAAATACTCGATAACCATTATAACTTGTGACAAATGCATCAAATGTGGTTATTAGATCAGTCTTACAACAATACCTCAAGCGTAGGTGGCTGCACTAATTAAGCACTATGTTTGAAAAGTCCCATAACATGTTTGAGTGTTCAGCAACAATTTCGTAAACTTCCCTTTTGTTTCCTTACTCAACACTGTTCAAAAAACGACCAATCAGGAGTTTAAAGGCATTTGAGGACCCCATTGATGTTTAGACTATAAAATCTTTGGTACCAGGTCACCCAAATTTTACCACTAAACAATTAGCAGCTTTACTCGATGATGTAGTTTTTAACTTCTTCGACAGACTTTCTCAAAGGTTGCTTTGAAACCTATTAGATATAATAGAAAGCTTTTTACTGAAGCTTTAAGCACTGTTATAGACAGATATTTACAAAATGAGAAATACTACTTGGACACAAAGCATATTTCACATGAGATGAGTTTTGAGGCTAAATTATTAGTGGCATATTTTTAGTCATGTACATACTAATCACGCTGGTTATACGAAGCATACTGGGCCACAAAGTTTCTCATGCTACACGAGAAAATAAAGCTGTTACATACTACATGCAAATTCCTTTGAGATAACGGAAAAAAGAAGTAGAATACTCAATGAATAACAAACGTGTAGTTAGTATTGTGAAAGAGATTAATAAAGTGAGCGAAACTGCGGTAGAAGAAATTACATTTAACATGACTAATATAGAAAGAAATTATGAGACTAGACATTCCTGACAATAGCAACAAAATCTTAGTGATATCAAAAACGTTGACGTCATCATGGTTTCATAAACGTGAGTAATATTTGAAATGAATGATAATGCAGTACTTATTATTAATCAGAGCCACTGTGTATCTTAAGCTTTGAGCTACACGATATGAGTAAAGCCTGATGATAAAATTGGTTGCCGAATCGAAATAGGCAGATTGTTATTTCTACCCAAGATCTGATGGTATTCTCTGATCAATTGATCCCTGATTTATATTAACAAAGTGTAATTCCTGAAAAATTAGAACTGTAGAACTGACAGATTAACTTGTAGATATGCTGTACGTAAATATCGATGCTCATAAAGGCTATAGAGACAGTGCCACATGACAACTAATCGTAAACTTTTACTTAGCTCTTGTAATGTACAGTATCATATATTGAAATAAAAATAGCATACCGAAGCCTAAAGTATCAAGTTTAAAAATTCCTTTTATATGGACTGAAACGTTGATCAAATGAACTAGGGAGTCTTAGTGTAAAGGGCACTATCGCACCTTTTATTTATGGAAATAGCTGATAACGGATTAATCGACCAACTCGTTTGATCACAAACTGTTACAGCATACGTTACCCTTGTCTATTACAGTAAAGGAAATGAGCAATCCGATATGATTTCCGGCATGCAGAGAGAACGTAGTGACTACAAAAAGCCACCTTAGAGATCTTTTAAATAAGCCGTCTCTGGGTATGGAATTAGTTTAAACAGGTACAGAAGTATAAAGAATCATTTATTTAGAAATTAAGATGAAATGCAAATTATTAGCCAAGCAGATTTATGTACTTGCTTTGGCACCACTTTGAGTGTGAGGGCTGGTGATACTAGTTGGAGATGCAAATAGAAGTACGCGAGGTAGGGTTACAACCTGAATCCTAATAGTTAAAAGTTATGTGTTTTAACAACTGAACTGTTCCTGCACCAACTAATATACTGATGTTAAATGTAAGTCAATGTATATTAGTGTATTTTTTATGACTGATGGGCTAAATAATGAACCGATCATTTTTACAAATGATATGATGAGGACTGCACAACAAAATTGAAATTATTTACAGAAATCACCTACCTTTTAAAAGGTTTTGTACACTATAAACTTAGTAAGAGAAATTTGAATATGGTCTACAAACAACAGAAAACTAGCATATTATGTTTTCAAATAAATTGAGCATTGGATAGAGATTTGATAATAAAGATATGTTTTGTTATATCCTAATGAATAGAAAAATTGTAATTCTGACGCTTCGTGACTTAGTATATTATATATTTCCTGTCCTTCAACTAATCAGTCAGTCATATACAACGTAGGACCTGTAACACATATGCACCGGTTTAAGTTGCCATATCGCATAGGGAAAGCGAGGTACCAGAGTAGTATAAGTAATAACAGTATTACTGATAGTAGAAGAGAATACGTATACGACATATGAATCGAGAATAGAATATGGATTCATGTAATAAAACGAAAAATTTTTCAGATAACTGAGAAACGTGAGATCCAAAGGAAGAGAGAATGATTACGTCTACACCACTGCGTACGATTCTTGCCAATGCAATTCCGGGTGTACAACCGTTAGTTACGATAATCATTCGGAAACCAACCAGGTAGTTTGTACACATTCATACATCTCAGTCCAAAAGTTAATAACTTCGTGGACTGATGGCTTGTTTTAGTTTGGGCGCCTCTAATTTTCTTCCAACAAATGCATATATCAGCCATCATCGCCTGTCGAGGTAGGTAATAGTTGGACATACATAATATATGCTTCAGATACCTTGGTTGAAGATTCGCTGTCTTGTTAGCCGATT